GGGTTTAGGGTTTAGGGTTTAGGGTTTAGGGTTTAGGGTTTAGGGTTTAGGGTTTAGGTTGGGGTACAGGCTCCATATTCTTCTCATCCAAGCACTTCCCCCTTCTGGTCGGGGGCGGTGCCTTGAGTTGCAGGCATTGCCCCGCATGCCAAGGGGATACTGTTGGAGTTTGTGCAGCCAAAAGGGGATTAGCTGAACTTGCTTTTTCCCTTAGTCTTGCTGCCGGTGCGTGTGTGCGTGTTTGGTACGACCACCCCGCACCCCAAGCCCTGTCTCCGAGCCAATGCCCCCAGCTTAGTACCTTTGTGAGGGATCGCAAGGGGAAGAGTTTCTGTTCCTGTGAAGTGGGCTGTCTTGCCTAAGTGCCCAAATCCAACCCAAGCCGCCCGGCTTGGGGGGGCGGGCCCATGGAGGTTCGGGTGGCGTTTTTCCCAGCTCGGATTGAGGGGCTCGGAGCGTCGAACTCTTGCCGGATCTCCCCAATGACGCAAGCGGAGGGGGGAAGAGATGGCGGGAGGGAACGTTTCCGTTGGCCGGAGTGCACCCCAGGCCGTCCACTCACTCACTCTCATCCAAGCACTTAGATGATGAATGCCAAGCCCTCTGAGGCAGGGGGAGAGGCACTTGCTAGGGTTTCTGGACCCATGACTCGCCAAGGAATAGCAAGGGTACCCTTCTTGGTGTACAGAGGCTTATAAGGGAACCTAGAGCCTAAACCCTAAACCCTAAACCCTAAACCCTAAACCCTAAACCCTAAACCCTAAACCCTAAACCCTAAACCCTAAACCCTAAACCCTAAACCCTAAACCCTAAACCCTAAACCCTAAACCCTAAAAGGGAATAAGGACCCACTCCGGGTCCTGGGCTTAAGGTTCACGGGCGTTTTTGGTGAGGCTGGAGCTGGGCTGGAGGGCTGGAGCTGGGCTGGAGCTGGGCGGCTGGAGGGCTGGAGGGCTGGAGGGCTGGAGGGCTGGAGGGCTGGAGGGCTGGAGGGCTGGAGGGCTGGAGGGCTGGAGGGAGGGCTGGAGGGGGCTGGTGGAGGGCTGGAGGGCTGGAGGAGGCCTGGAGGAGGGCTGGAGGAGGGCCTGGAGGAGGGCTGGAGGAGGGCTGGAGGAGGGCTGGAGGAGGGCTGGAGGAGGGCTGGAGGGCTGGAGGGCTGGAGGGCTGGAGGGCTGGAGAAAGCAAAGGGTTGGTCAGGTTGAATAAGAAATGTTTTCAAGACTCTCGCCTCAAATCTACCTTTCTTAATACATCTGCCTGGTTAAGAAATGTCCCAGACTCTGGTGGACCTTCGAACCTTTCTTATCATAAGTTTTGACCGTAATTCATAGGGTTTTTAGGGAACCCTAAACTCTAAACCCTAAACCCTAAACCCTAGACCCTAAACCCTAGACCCTAAACCCTAAAGCCTAAACCCTAAACCCTAAACCCTAAGCCCCTCCCCCCCCCTGGCCTTCGAGAAGTGCGGGCCTTCTGGATACTGCGTCGGGGTGTCGGTCAGGAAATAAAACGCAGGGCCAGCGACGGAGAGCTGCAGGGAGGTCTGCAGCCTCTTTTGGGTTTTGGGTTTAGGGTTTAGGGGAATCTTGCGGGTTAGGGTGTGGGGCTTTGGAGTTTCAGAGTTCAGGGTTGGGGCATAAGCTTTGGGGATTTTGGGGTTTCAGGGTTTAGGGCTGGGGAATTGAATTTCGGGTTCAGGGTTTAGGGTCTAGCGTGAACTAAAGGAAGTTGCTGATCCCAGTTACCTGAAACCCGAAACAACTCTAAACCCCAAACCCTAAACCCTAGACCCTAAACCCCAAACCCCAAACCCTAAACCCTAAGCCCTAAACCCGAAGCCGGTTCCACTTGGTGCCCATGGTGTTAGCAGGGGTTGCGGCTTGAGCGCTTCAGGGTGAAGCAGTCACGAAACACAAAGCGTTTAGGGTTTAGGGTTTAGGGTTTAGGGTTTAGGGTTTAGGGTTTAGGGTTTAGGGTTTAGGGTTTAGGGTTTAGGGTTTAGGGTTTAGGGCTTCGAAACCCCAACCCGACAGCCAAGTGTCAAGGTGAAGACGGCGAACTTGGCGATGATAGGGGAGAGCAAAATGAGAAATGAGCTGAGAACCTGAGCTGCAGGCTAGCTTCAACCGAGCTCCATCTCCAGAGCCCATAACAGCAAGAAGAGTGTAGGGTTTAGGGTTTAGGGATTAAATAGGGATTAGGGCAGGGTTAGGGTTGCCCTAATCCCTATTTAATCCCTAAACCCTAAACCCTAAACCCTAAACCCTAAACCCTAAACCCTAAACCCTAAACCCTAAACCCTAAACCCTAAACCCTAAACCCTAAACCCTATGCCAAGAAAACGCAGAAGCTGAATCTAGGATGCAGCAGGGCGCCGCCAGAGCTGCGAGAACTGCTACGGCTGCCTCAGAGGAGGAATGTAGTCGGATGATCTTGTTCCTGGGGGGGGGGGGAGCAGCCCTAAACCCTAAACCCTAAACCCTAAACCCTAAACCCTAAACCCTAAACCCTAAACCCTACACCCCAACAATCATCTGAACACTATGCCTCATGTTCTACTTGGGGTGGAGTGCTGTAGGTATTTGCATGGACCGGGATAAGGAAAAAGGCACATCCGCAGGTACGGTAGACACAATGCGGTGAGGAAAAGGTGATGGAAACTGAGCAACTTAGCTTCCAGGGTTTATAGAAATTGTATAGGGTTTGGGTCCCAATAAGTTTTGAGCGAAAGTTTTGAGCGAAAGTTTGTTTTTAGATATTAGGTTTAGGGGTCTGGGAGGTCTGGGAGCCAATTTTGGGCTCCGGAAGCCAATTTTGGGCTTGGGGAGCAAATTCCTTCAATTTGGGGTTTTGGGGCCAATTTTGGGCTTTGGAGTCCTGGGAGCCAATTTTGGCTCCGGAAGCCAATTTTGGGGTTGGGAAGCGAGTTTTTGGCTTTGGGGGCCAATTTGGGCCAATTTTGGGTTTTGGGGCCAGTTTGGGGTTGGGAGGCAAATTTGGGGGTGAATTGGGTCTTTGGGGGCCAATTTTGGGCTCTGAGCAAATTTTCGGCTTTGGGAAGCAAAATTCGGGCTCCGGAAGCCAATTTTGGGCTTGCGGAGCAAATTTCGGGCTTTGGGGGCCAATTTTGGGCATTGGAAGCCAATTTGTGGTTTTGACCCGGGAAGGCACCACGGGAAGGTCCCAGAGGTTTGAGTAAATTGAACATTTGGCCTCCCGCTTTGGATTAACTTATTTAAACTCTGTTTGTCAGCTGTTTAGACAAATTTTTGGAAAATTCAGAATGATACCACATACAATTTCTATTTATTTTGTCTTGAGGGTTTAGGGTTTAGGGTTTAGGGTTTAGGGTTTAGGGTTTAGGGTTTAGGGTTTAGGGTTTAGGGTTTAGGGTTTAGGGTTTGAGGCAACAGTACCTACATGCCAAACCCCAAGCCGAGTAACATCGGATGGGCCTGTCAGGGGAACACTAAACATTTCTAAATCCTTCAACCCCCCCACCCTAATTCCCCAAACCCTAAATCCCTAAACCTTTGACCCAAGCCCTGAACCCTACTTAGAAGCATCTGAGCTGCGTTCACTGCCGGCCGTGTCGTGAGTGCGGCCGACGTGCTGAGAGTCACGGAGGCGGCGGACATAACCAAGGCCAAAAAGAAGAGCTCCTGTGTTTTTGGGGCTGAGGGTTAAGGTTTTCGTGCATCATGGACCCAGGTACCCCACAAGAATCTGACTAGTCTGGATTTGGGGGGAGTGTGGAATCTGGGGCTTGGGAGTCTTTTGGTCCTGCCCAGGGGCGCGCGGGAGCTGCACTTGATCCGGGTCTATCGGGGATCAAGGATGTAGGATTTAAAGGTTAAGGGTCCAATCCCGAGACCAGAGGATCCCTTACATGGGGGTTTCCGAAAAATTAGGGACACCTGAGTTGGGTCCTTAGTACAGGGAATCCTACTAATTTGGGGACTCTATTAGGGGTGCCTTATTTTCATAATCCCCCATGTACCCCTTAAGATCCTAGGCCCAAAGTGGGATGAAAGACCGCGGCGGCGTTCAAGGTGTCGGTTGGGCTGATGAGGCTATATGCAAAGCCTTACCTGTCCATCCTTAAACCGAAGCCCTAAACCCTGAACCCAGCTTGTAACCACCCATGAACCTGCAAGCATGGTTGAGGTTGAAGGTTGCTAGGTCCTTGCCCAATATCTCCCCAAAACAACACAGACGGATTCAAAGCCCTGAGCTCTCACTGAGGTTCAGGCTGCAGGGTTTAGGGTTTAGAGTTTATGGATTGAAAAATGGGTTAGGGTTTGGGTTTAGGGTTTAGGGTTTAGGGTTTAGGGTTTAGGGTTTAGGGTTTAGGGTTTAGGGTTTAGGGTTTAGGGTTTAGGGTTTAGGGTTTAGGGTTTAGGGTTTAGGGTTTAGGGTTTAGGGCTTAGGGTTTCGTGACATGGAGCACACCTCGCCTTCTGCCTGAAGATGTTCGCGCGGGCAGCTTGAACTTCAGCAGCACCTGCTTGGCTCCTCTCTGAACTTTAGGATTTAGGGTTTAGGGTTTAGGGTTTAGGGTTTAGTAGGGTTTAGGGTTTGGGATGTGGGGCTTCGGGTGCCGTAGTTCGGGCAGAAGGGTGGTGAAAGGGAGGAGCATAGGATCCCCATCATGGCAGCAAACAGCCCAGCCACTAGCGAGTAGCACGCACGGGGTTGTTTCCACTAAACCCTCTATCCTAAATTCTTGTCATCGGACTCCTGATAGACGCAGGACCCCGAAACAGGGACCCTGAGCTAGACAAGAAAACGCGTGGCATGGCGGTTTAGGGTTTAGGGTTTAGGGTTTAGGGTTTAGGGTTTAGGGTTTAGGGTTTAGGGTTTAGGGTTTAGGGTTTAGGGTTTAGGGTTTAGGGCAGCAGTTACAAATTACAATCGAAGTTGCGCCAAGCTTCTTGGCCTTTTGGCTAGGTGTTCGGGACCCGGGGCCTCGTGTGAAAATCAAGATGCCACCAGGCGACTTTTCCGGTGCTCCTCCATTGTCCAGGCGGCGTAGAGCGCCGGGAGGCTACAGATGGCCACCAGGATATACGTGGCATGTGCTCCCAAATACCTCGAACTTGTGGCTTTTGGGGTGTTCAACTTGAGGGTCTTGGCGTCATACACAGACCGCGACTTGAACGTGTACTGCCTAACATGGGGCACCTAAACCCTAAACCCTAAACCCTAAACCCTAAACCCTAAACCCTAAACCCTAAACCCTAAACCCTAAACCCTAAACCCTAAACCCTAAACCCTAAACCCTAAACCCCTTCTACTGCAATCCTTATACCGGGGTTTCGGGGTGCAAGGGCTCCCGAAAACCTTAGACTTCCCGAAGCCCTAAACCCTGAACCCTAAACCCTAAACCCTAAACCCTAAACCCTAAACCCTAAACCCTAAACCCTAAACCCTAAACCCTAACCCTAAACCCTAAACCCTAAACCCTAAACCCGAAACCCACGGCAAAGGCACGTCAGCACAAAGCCCGAAGCCAGGGCCGCCAAGAAGGACCAGAAGGACATTCCCGCAAACACCTGAAAAAGGGGGGGGGGGGGTTTAGGGTTTAGGGTTTAGGGTTTAGGGTTTAGGGTTTAGGGTTTAGGGTTTAGGGTTTAGGGTTTAGGGTTTAGGGTTTAGGGTTTAGGGTTTAGGGTTTAGGGTTTAGGGTTTCGGGTCTAGGGTTTAGGGTTTAGGGTTTAGGGTTGTAAGCCAGCCTTCGGTTCAATTTAGGGTTTAGGGTTTAGGGTCTAGGGTTTAGGGTTTAGGGTTTAAGGTTGCTGCCTTCAAAAGAATGTAAGCTACTTGGAGGCTCGTGGGCAGTTGAAAGCAAGGGTAACTTGGTTGTTCAAGGTTCAGTGAGCTGCTACGAAACCTTGGGGGGTAGCTTTAGGGTTTTTAGGGTTTTGAAGGTTTTGGGTTTGGGGCTTTAGTAAGGTGTTTAGGGTGTTGTAGGGTTGGGGGTTGGGGCTCTTGGGTTGAGGCTTCGGGGGGAAACCCTAAACCCTAAACCCTAAACCCTACACCCTACACCCTAAATCCTAAACCCTAAACCCCTAAACCCTAAACCCTAAACCCTAAACCCTACTCTCGCAAGCAGGGCTGGGGGTACCCTAGGGTTTCGAGATAGGGGCCTGGGTGCCTGGGGGGTTTTTGTAGTATACGTATATGAAGTAGGGTATATATTTCTTGTACCCCCAAAAGGACACCAAGTATATACACTCACCAATTAAAAAAGGAACCTTATATACACTCACCAATAACAGTAATATAAACCCTACTTCATATAGGGACCATACGCTTTTTGATGAATTCAGGTTGGGCGTCCTTGGTCGCGGTTCAGGGTTTGGGTATCGAATTTGTCCTAGGGCTTTAACGTGCGCAAGCTAAACATACTAAACCCCTTGCAGAGAAGCTGATTTTGTAACTACTTCTGTTACTCTTAACGGTACTTATAACCATGTTAGGGCACTTAAGGGGCTTATAAGTACAGTTAAAACTAGTTAACAAGTACCATGAATATCCAAGTAGGGTTGCCCGTCAGGTGTCAAGGATGCAGGGCTAAGAAATGTTGGACCTTAGGGTCTTCGGAGAGACGCAGGTTTAGGGTTTAGGGTTTAGGGTTTAGGGTTTAGGGTTTAGGGTTTAGGGCTATAGGGATTAAGTAGGAGGGCAGGGGAAACATTCTCTTGTGCTCTTCGCCAACATCCGATTGAAAACCCTAAACCCTAAACCCTAAACCCCAAACCCTAAACCATAAACAACACCTATAGCTACAAATGAGCAGGTTTGGGGTTCCTAAGGTACGTGGCGGGACCAAGCAACAAGGCCCGATCAGGGTCTGTGGGGTGGATCTTTGGTAGCAACCCCGAACAAAACCGCAATCTCTCCAAAATTCCCGAAAACGCTGTCTTACTTTGTTACAGAGTCCATAAACAACCGACTAACGAAAACCCTAAACATCCCGAATCCACAGACCTTCTAACCCCTGAGCCCTAAGCTAAGCCCTAAACCCCAAGCCGCCTTGCAAGCCACAGGAAAGAACTAGCCCTAAACCCTAAACCCTAAACCCTAAACCCTAAACCCCAAACCCTAAACCCTAGGTCCCTGGAAGTTGCTTGCTGAGCGGCGAAAGTCAGCAGGTCTTGTCCGCGTTTGGGCTTCTCCTGCTAGGGTTTAGGGTTTAGGGTTTAGGGTTTAGGGTTTAGGGTTTAGGGTTTAGGGTTTAGGGTTTAGGGTTTAGGGTTTAGGGTTTAGGGTTTAGGTTTCAGGGCTTAGTGCTTAGGGTTTCGGCTTCAGGGTTTAGGGTGCAAGACCCCAGGGCGTTTTAAACCTAAACCCTCAAGCCCATGTAACTTGATATTATTAAGAACAAATCCAAAAAAAGAAACTATTCGAAACTTTCCTCAAAACTTTGTTCGAAACTTTCCTCGAAACTTTCCCCGGACCTGAACCCTCAATAATTTCAACAAACCCTAAACCCTAAACCCTAAACCCTAAACCCTAACACTGGCCTGCATATGCCGTGAATACAGCGCCTCAGTGAGGAGGTCGTCGCTGCCTTGGTCCGTACGCTGTCAACTCGGGCTTAGGGTTTAGGGTTTAGGGTTTAGGGTTTAGGGTTTAGGGTTCAACGTTTAGGGCTTAGGGTTCAAAGTTCAGGGTTTAGGGTTTAGGGATTTCAGCCTCTGGAATTCCTCCCCGTCTTGCAAGCAGCTCAGACATCAAACAACAATGACGAATCATTGGTTATTATGTACCATGAACCTCCAAGTACAGGCTCCCTGCTACACTGGCACTGGCACCTGAAGAGGCCTATTCATCTGAAGCTTGTGTTAGGGTTTGGGGTTTAGGTTTTCGGGTTTAGGGTTTAGGGTTTACAGGGACTTGAGTTAGCCGTTGAAAAGGCTGAAGCCGTACACCTCCGAGGCTCCAAACCCCTGAGCGCCAATCGGCTCGAACCCCTTAAGCCCTTATCCCTACTTGGAGGTTCATGGTACTTAGTAAGCAAATTTTAAGTGTACTTATAACCCACTTGTAAGCCCCTTAAATGCCCTATTATGGCTATAAGCGCAGTTATAGATACGGCTATCATTGGTTAATAAGAAACCCTAAACCCTACACCCTACACCCTAAACCTTAGACCCCTACGTAGTGTCCCATGAACCTCCAAGTAGATCTGACGTATTATTCTTTGCCTGTTGCAAGCAGGCTGCCCGAAAGGCCTGCGTGCCCGCTTCGAGGTGGAATTTAGGTATAGGGTTTAGGGTTTAGGGTTTAGGGTTTAGGGTTTAGGGTTTAGGGTTTAGGGTTTAGGGTTTAGGGTTTAGGGTTTAGGGTTTAGGGTTTAGGGTTTAGGGTTTAGGGTCTAGGCCCCAAGCCCCAAGCTTGAAACTTTGGGGTTTTTGATGATGGGCTTTGGGGTTGGGCAGCCTTATGGGACCAACCCGCCCGGCTGCAAATCATGAACTCGACCAGGAATAGGCACAGGATGAGCCTGGCAGACCGAGTGTTGCAGGGTTTACAGTTTAGGGTTTAGGGGATCGGGGGTGGGGGTCCGAGTCCCCTCCCGCCCTACCCCTTAAACCCCAAACCCCCTAAAGCAGACACGCGGCACTCGGAGCGATGTGGAAACTAGGCCGACAATGAGGGCTGCAGCGATGCCGACCGTGCTGACCATCAGCAGGTAAGGAGCCTGATGCCCCAAAAAGGCTTAGAGGTTTGAGAAATTTTAGGAATGTGCTGTTGTTTAGTGTGTAGAGTTTTGAGCTGAGGCCTTTAGAGGCTTTTGGGGGACTCAAGCCCAAAACCTAAACCCTAAACCCTAAACCCTAAACCCTAAACCGTAAACCCTAAACCCTAAACCCTAAACCCTAAACCCTAAATTCCAAGCCCTAAACCCTAAACCCTAAACCCTAAACCCGAAACCCTAAACCCTACACCATGTGTTGGCAGGCCTTGTTGTAGCCCCCGATCGGGAAGAGATCGCTGGTCAAGCCCATCATCGGCTTCATGATGTATGGAGAGAAGATCCTGGGCTGCCCCGTAAACCCTAAACCCTAAACCCTAAACCGCAAAAAAAACGGTAACACCCAAGAACCCCTGAACCCCCCTACAGGACATCTCGGCCCAACCGGCCCCAAACTCGTAGATGCACACCAAGCAGCCTTAAGCCGCGAAAGGCCTTTAACCATTCCAGAACCCCCCCAAACCCTGCGTTTAGGATTTAGGGTGTAAGGGTTAAGCGTCAAGGGTTTAGGCCCTAAACCAGTGAAAACCTGAAACCCTCAAGCCAAGACCCCCGCCCCTCCCCCCCCCCCCCCCCCCCACCCCCTCCCCCGACCCCTCCCCCGCCCCCTCCCCCACCCCCATGAAGTCCAAGGTATCTGGCCCTCATCTGAGCAGTCCTTAATAGGGATTTTAGTACCCCCTACTACAATCCCGATTAAGGACGGCTAGCATAAGGCAAAACATCCCAAGTTTAGGAACTTGGGGTTTAGAACCCAGGGTTTGTAGGGTTTTGGAATGTAGGGCTTCGATCTGAAGGTGTGTCTAAGCCGCCCTGAACCCAGGTTGCACAGGTAACCTAGGATTCAAAAAGGGTGCCCCTTTTTGCTTAAAGTTAAAGGGGTTTACAAGGGAACCTAAACCCACCCAAACAAGGACTGGGCATCCTAGAAGCGCAAAAGAAAAAAGCAAAGGCTTCTGATGCCCATGAGGGTCAAGGTCTTCAGGATTTGCACATCCTGCCCGAGAGCTCAGAGAATTGCATTTTCCCAAAACCCTAAAACCTACCTGAACTACTCTACAACGACCCCCTATGCTCCTGATCTCCCCTTCAAAAGCCACCAAACTCTCAAACCCGCCGCAAACCCTAACAAAAACAACCTAAACCCCAGCCTAACGCCTAAACCAGCGCATGGAACCCAGTCCTGCGCAGACCTCTGCGAACTTCGGTTGAGGGTTGTGCGGTTTTGCAAGGGTTAGGGTTTATGGTGCAGGGCGTGGAGCTTAAGGCTTCGCGGTTTCTTTTCGTGAGGCTTTTGGCCTGGGCTGTTGTTTGGGTGTTGGGAGGAAGGCTTTGTCCAGGGAACCACCAAACCCTAAACCCTAAACCCTAAACCCTAAACCCTAAACCCTAAACCCTAAACCCTAAACCCCTCACACCCTCAAAGCTAAGCCCCCGAACCCCCAACCATGAACCCCTTGGGGTTTACGGTTAGGGTTCAGGGTTTAGGGTTTATAGGGTTCAGGGTTTATAGGGTTCAGGGTTTATAGGGTTTAGGGTTTAGGTTTTAGGGTTCAGCATCTCAAGTCCAAGCATTCACTAGTCAAGCAATTACTCACCCGCCCAAAGAATCCCATAACACTAAGAACGACAAGACAGACAACATTCTGAAACCCCCCATAGAGAATCAACATTTCCCACTATCCAGGGTCTACATTGGCTTAGTGTCCCACTATGGTCCAAATGTGCTTCGTGTCCCACTATCTGGGCTATCTGGGCCGCAGGTGATATTATTTACTGGGCCGCCGGGGGGGGGGTTGTGGGGGGGGGGGGTGGGGGGGGGGGGGGGGGGGGGTGGGGGGGGGGGGGGTGGGGGGGGGGGGGGGGTGGAAGGTCACATTTTTACTGGGCGGGGTGGGCACCCAGCAAAAAACATGACCTTCGGGGCCGGAGGTCACAATTTTATGGGGCGGGTGGGCGCCCAGTAAAAACATGACCTTCGGGGCCCGAAGGTCAAGTTTTTGCGGGCACAAGGTCGTTTTGTGGACCGACCGACTTGCCAGTAAACATATGACCTTGCCAGCAAAAAGGTGACCTTGCCCAGGAAAATATGAATTTGCCCAGAAAAATATGACCTTGACCAGTAAAAAAAAAAATTGACCTTGCCCAATATGCGCTGTAAGCTATGACTTGCCGGGCCGAAGGTCATATTTTTACTGGGCACAAGGTCGTTTTTGGACTGAACGACCTTGCCCAGTAAAAACATGACCTTGCCCAGGAAGAAAAGGACATTGCCCAGTAAAAATATGACCTTGCCCAGAAAAAATGACCTTGACCTGTAACCCCAACATTTAAATGATATACCCTGGGCACCGGCACGTGGTACTCCTTGCAGAGGTAGGGGTTGGCACGGCCACCAAGGTGCCAGCGAAGCCCTTGATGAGATGCTGGATGGCGAACCTGCAGTAAGGAACCAAGGGCGCGGGGCTTTGGGGGTTTTAGGCTTAGGGTTTTAGGTTTTTAGGGCTCTTGGGTTTTGGCTCCAGGATTGTGGGCGGATGGGTGTTGGGATTGAGTCTTCTCCAGGGGCTAAACCTAAACCTAAACCCTAACCCTAAACCTAAACCCTAACCCGAAACCTTCTAACCCTGACATTAGAGGCTTCAGCAGGGGTTTAGGGGATGAGGCTGCCAGGCGGGTGGCAGCAAGAAGAGCAGGCGTCCGCCGAATTCCCACGCAGCACGGCCAGCCAGTCGAAAAAACTGCACCTGCTGGGAGAGTTTGGGGGTTTAGGGTGTTGGGGGTGTAGGGTTAGGGGGGGTTTAGGGGTTAGGGGTTAGGGGTTTAGGGGTTTTTAGGGGTTTAGGGGTTTAGGGTAGCCTAAACCCCAAACCCTAAACCCGAAAACCCGAAACCCTAAACCCTAAACCCGAAACCCTAAACCCTAAACCCTAAAACCCGAAAAACGCCTAAACCCTAAACCCGAAACAGTGAAGTTTAAGGCATGGGGTTCAAGGCGAACTGCCCAGCACCCCCCCCCCCCCCCCACCCCCCCCAACAGGAAGAAGAAGGGATGGTTGGATCCCCTTGAACGCCAATTAAACGACAAGATGCTTCGGGATTAAGGGCAAACCAGAACCCCCTGAACCTTAAACCCTAAACCCTAAACTTTGCTTTTCGAGGGTTTAGGGTTTAGAGTTTAGGGCTTAGGGTTTTAGGAAGAGTTTGAGCAACCGCAAATTGGCGACCCCAGAATTTGGCTGAACAAAAACCTCATAGGGCTTTAGGGGCAGCCCCTGCTCAACAACATCTTGGCTGCCTGGGGCGACAATCTTCATCTGAGTCGGAGGCATTGCCTCAGCTAGATGGTATCTTAGGAACAACAACAGCACCCCTTCTTCTTTTCAAACTATCCCCAAGCCCTAAACCCTAAACCCTAAAACCGCACAAGGCGCTTCCATAACCTCTTCTGGAAGATTTTGGTAGCCAGCCCCATCACCGTTTCACCCAACCCCATGCCCCGCCACCCCGCCTCGATTGTTCACAAAACCCTAAACCCTAAACCCTAAACCCTAAACCCTGAACCCTGAACCCTAAACGCTAAACCCTAAACCCTAAACCCTAAACCCTAAACCCTATTGGGGGCTTAGGGCTTCAGTCCATGTGGCTTCCGCACGTGCCCGATGTTGCAGACGCATCGGACTCCATCGGCCATTCCACACAGGAGGGCAGGACTTGGGAATTCGGGAGCCCGAAGCCCTCGGGGTTTAGGGTTTAGGGTTTAGGGTTTAGGGTTTAGGGTTTAGGGTTTAGGGTTTAGGGTTTAGGGTTTAGGGTTTAGGGGGCCCATGAAGCCCCAGGTTTATTTAAGGGTTTGGGGGTTCGGGGTTCAAAGGGTTCAGGGTTGTGGGTTGAGGGTTTTGGAATTGGGAATTAGGGTTTAGGGTTTAGGGTTTAGGAATTAAGGTGTAGGAAGTAGGAATTGGGAATTCGGGTTTAGGGTTGCAGCTTTAGGTTGAGGGTTGAGGGCTTAACAAAGCGAACCTTGTTGGGCGAAGTGACCTGAATCAGACGCAGGGCGTTGAATGAAATCAGGGAACGTTTACCTGGGCCCCCCATTTATAGGGAGTCCTACTGTGGCATAGCCTAAACTATGAACCGTAGAACCCTAAACCTTAGAACCTCAGAACCTGCGAACCTTTGAGCCTTAGAACCTTAGAACCTAAACCCTAAAGCCTAAACCCGAAACCCTAAACCCTAAACTCTAAACCCTAAGCCCCCCTCATCTGAAGCCCCCCTTACATCGCCCAGAGCCGGGGCTTCCTCTCTTCGCCGGTGTAGGTTGGAGGTTCATGGTACTTACTAACCAATTACAACTGTACTTACAGGGTTCAGGGTTTATGGTTGAGGTTTAGGGTTTAGGGTTTAGGGTTTAGGGTTTAGGGTTTAGGGTTTAGGGTTTAGGGTTTAGGGTTTGGGGGGTACTTATAACCCACTCATAAGCCCCTTAAGTGGTCCAAGATGGTTATCAGTACAGCTACAAGTCCAGTTAAAGCTGGTCAATAAGTACCGTGAACCTCCAAGTAGGGTCTAAACTCGAAGGCAACAACAACTAGCAAACATCCAGTCTCGTCTTCAACCACTTACACTCAAGATGTTTTCTTGGGTTGAAGGCCCAGGGTTTAGGGTCTAGATCTTCTGGCTGGCTCTTAGTTGGGAATGAGGGAGTGAGGTACCCTATAGATCCCTTAAAGGGTGTATATGGGGCCCTAGTTCCCTCATTCCCGGCTAAGAACCAGGGGACTTCCGTGTTCGGCTTGAAATCGAAATCTGCGGCCCTAAATTCAACCCGTCGGACCTCTTAACTCCCATGCCGTCTTGAACCCCAAACCTGACGCCCTAAAGCCTAAATGCCTAAATGCCTAAACCCTAAGCCGTAGACCCTAAACCCTCAATTAATCCCAAACCCTAAGCCCTAAACCCTAAACCCCCCAGGGCTGTGTGAGCAGCTTTATTCGCACCGCTGCTCGAAGTAGGCCCAGTCAGGTTCAGGAGAGAGCCTCGGCTCTTCAAAAAGGGATTGGGTGCTTAGGGGTTTTAGGGGTTCAGGGGTTTGCTTAGATTACTACTGTTTGTGTTTTTTGTTTTTTTTTTTGGGGGGGGGGGGGTGCCTTAGGGTGCCTTAGGGTGCCTTAGGGTCTAAAAGGAAAGCTTCCTGTTTAAATGGTCTTATGCTTTCAGAAGCCGAACTCTACACCCAACACCCTTGTTTCGTTTCGGGGGCTCGTGGGCGGAAAGGCCTGGGGGGTCGAAGAAGCGTAGAGATTACTGTGTCTGCCCCTATGAACCCAAGACCATGTCTGCTCATAACCTATTGAAAGCCCACCACTGAAGCTTCAAGTGAGGGGGGGGGGGGGGGCAGTCTAGGACTTCGTCGAGCTTAGGGTTTCGGGTTTAGGGTGTAGGTTCTAGGGTTTAAGGTGTAGGAATCTTTGCATTCTTCAGGTTTGGGGCATGCGCTGGAATGGGCAGAATTGGTGAATCATTCTGCGCATTCTTCTAAGCCAATTGCCCACTAAGAACCTATGAGTTTCAGATCTCTTTCGCAAGCTCCTCCAACCCTTAAGCCTATAAGCGGTTTAGGGCGCAGGAGGTTGCAACAATTGCCTAAACCCTAAGCAGATTTTTGGTGATCCTGAGTTCCTCCAGCATGGATTCAAGTATGTTGAGTTAATATAGAGGTCGGAATAATTACTAATGGTATTCCCTTCTGGCCCCTTTAAAATATACTGTCATAACCCCCAAAGCCATGTTCTAATTATTAAGGCCTCTATAGTATACAAGGGGTACCCCGAGTTTGACAAATGCAGGTGTGGGCGTCGAAGGTTCACGGTTAGCGGTTTCAGGTTTCGAGGTTTACGGTAGCAGCTGGGTTTAGGGCTTGCGGTTGCGGAGTTTTGCTGTTTGGGGCTGGTATCTAGGAACTAGGTGGACGGCTTGCCAGTTTAGGGGTTTAGGGGTTTAGGGTTAAGGGTTTAATTAGGATTAACTGGAACCCCCCCAAACCCTAAACTCCCTGAAATCCACACGCAAGTCCGTGACCCTAACCCTAAGCCCTGTAAACCCTAAACCCTAAAACCCTAAACTCCCCGAAGTCCAGATGAAATGCCGCGCCACCCTTTGGCTCTCCGCGCTTGGTTCGTCAGAGCCCGCTCCCGGTGATAGGCATGCTCGAAGACCGCTGGCAAGCAAACCGGCTTGTGGATCCAGAGTGTGCTGTCCTGGGAGACCCTACTACTTTGGGAGTAGACCCTGGAAAAAATATATACATTTAGGTAGAAGAAGCTATCGTAGGAACCCAGAATCAAAAAAACAAGTCTTAAGGTATAGTACTCCCAAACCCAGTTTAGACGAGGGCTTCACGCTCGTAGCCCTAAGTTGAGGAGGGTTGAGGGCCTAAAGCTAGTAGCCCTAAACCCTCAGCCCTAAACCCCTGCACCATAGGAAAGACTAGAAAGAACCCAGGTTCATCCACTTCAGGCAGATAGCTAGTAGCCTAAACCCTAAACCCCAAACCCCAAACCCTAAACCCCATAGCAAAGACCCAGGTTCATCCACTTCAGGCAGATAAGAGCAGCTGAACCTTGGCTGCACTCAGAAGGGTAGCTATAACTGAAAATGCTAGCTGCCTTATTAAGAAACCCAATAAACCCAAAAAGGCTAAGGATCTAAAGTTACAGTAAAGCACCACAAAGGAACCATAGCCCTAAACCCTAAACCCTAAACCCTAAACCCTAAACCCTAAACCCTAAACCCTAAACCCAAGGAACCATCGATGAGTCCGCCCCTCGCGGATCGCCAGCGCTTCCTCGGCGATTCGGTTGGCTTTTCCTGGGAGCCAGGAGTTGAGGGTTTAGGGTTTCGGGAGCCCTCCGCCAAAAGGTTTAGGGTTTAGGGTTTAGGGTTTAGGCTGAGGGAGCCCTAAGCATTCAGAGTTTAGGGTTTAGGGTTGGCTGATCCGGGGAGCCTGACGCCCGGAGCACCCTGAACTCAGATTTCCCAAAGCCGTGAAAGGGCTTAGAGTTAGGGGTTTAAAGCCCTCAGCCTAAAGGGTTTAGGGTTTATGGCTTCGGGTTATAGGGTGTTCTTCAAAGCAAAGCTTGCAATGAGCTGAAAGATAATCTTCAAGCTTGCGTGCCTGCGTGATACCCTAAACCCTAAAACCTAAACATCATTCATAGCTATTTCATAACTGCTGGGTAGCGTAGGCAACGGACCTATTAAAAGCCCAGGCACAAGATCTCTAAACAAGGAGCAGCAGTAAATCTAACACATCCTACCGTGGACCCAAAAGACCTTCGGCTCTTTGGTAATCTGCATGCCCGACAGGCCCTGCATAACTGTTCGAACTCAAGGTCTTTGATTCGGGTCGACAGTAAGGTAAACGCTAAGGCCCTCAACTACATCGTAGCAACCTTGCGTAGGGTTCCATCGGAACCGAGTACCCAAACTCCCCCAACCCTAAAGCCTCCCTCGCCCCCCCCGCCTCCTCCCTAAACCCTAAACCCTAAACCCTAAACCCTGAACCCTGAACCCTGAACCCTAAACCCTAAACCCTAAACCCTGAACCCCAAAGCCCCTCTCCCCCAAGTGATGCAGCAAAAGCCTCCACCAAAACGGAACCCCCAAAGGTCCATGGGCGCCAGAGCCAGATCCAGCTGATACGTAAAAACGAAGGGAGGCATACAGAAGAACCTCGGGCTGGATGGGGGGGTTTAGGGTTTAGGGTCTAGAGGGTCACCGTCTAGAGGGGGTTCCAGGCTTAGAAAAAAACCCACCCGCCCAAAGAATCCCATAACATTAAGAACATAAAAGGTTCTCATCCTACCCCACAGAGTTTTACCTACCAACTTCTAAACCATGAGGCCCCAAACCCTGAAGCCCTAAACCCTGAAGCCCTGCACCCTCAAGCCCTAAACCCTGGAGCCCTAAACCCTGAAGCCCTAAACCCTGGAGCCCTAAACCCTGAAGCCCTGAACCCTGAAGCCCTAAGCCCTGATTGACCGAAAACTCACCAACACTGGTCCAGATTGACCGAAAAGTCACCAACACTGGTCCAGATTGACCGAAAAGTCACCAACACTGGTCCAGATTGACCGAAAAGTCACCAACACTGGTCCAGATTGACCGAAAAGTCACCAACACTGGTCCAGATTGACCGAAAAGTCACGAATATTGGGGTCACATTGATGGAAAAGTCACCAACACTGGTCCAGATTGGCCGAAAAGTCACGAACAACAGGGGGCAGATGGACCGAAAAATCTCGAAGGTTTACATCTATATATGATAGAG